CTAGCCCACACCCAGCCCCTCATCCTCCAGAAAGCCTCCTCCCTCCTCCTCCTGCTGTGGGATTCCCACCCTTGGGTCTCGGTCCCCCTGAGCCATGTTTAACTCCTCCCTGCAAGCCTGGTCCACTCTGTGTGGTCTTGAGTCCTGCGCCACCTGCTGGCCATCCAGAAGGTCCCCATCTCCTCCCAGCCTGAGGGCCTCCTCTCCACCTTCCCTTGGTCACCAGTCATCATCATTGTCGTGCTCCTCCTCCACCTCTAATTTTATTTTTTTCGAGACAGCATCACACAAAGTCACTCAATTAGCTGCCCAGGCAGGGCTGGAACCATGTATTCTCCTGCCTCAGCCTCCCCAAGTGGCAACCACAGTTTTAAAGGATGCTTCCCATTTCCCTCCCTCCCAGGGTCTTGAATATTTTTGCATCTATGTCCATGAGAAGCACTGATCTGAAGATAAGTGAGAATGCTTTATTCCCCTGACATAAGGAATAAGAGGAGAATGCTACAATAGTCACATCTTGAAGATGCCATTCTGACTAAACTATTGCACATTTTTGCAAAATTAAATCAACATAGAGGTACTGAGGTATTGAAAGGATGGGGTGTGGATATACATGTCAGATGCCAGGTGGCCATGGCAGTACGGATGGGGACATGTGAGGACAGCACGCATCGGAGCTGGATGCCCAGCACTTCCTTGGGGGTGGGGAGCCCCGGCAAGGGCACGCCCGGACACCCCAGGCACTGGGTCTGGACCCCAGATCTTGGTGCATCTCTCTAGGGGACTACCACTTGGGACTCCAGGGCAGAGGTGCATCTGCCACCCCTGGCTCAGAGCAGGGGCAATGAAGCTGAGTCTCCTCGGGCCCAGCGAGTCCCACCCCATCCTTAGCCATCATTCCACCCAGAGGTGGGTCCCACGTAGTGACTCTGGGCCTCCAGGTACCCTACTGACACCAGTGAGGCCACCCATAGGCAAAGCGGGCTTTGGCAAAGCCTAGCCAGGTGCAGATTCACTGGCCCCGACACCCGCAGTGTGGCCCTGGACAAATTGCTGATCTTCTCTGAACCTGCCTTTCTTAGCCCTGGGAAAAGAAGTCACACTGACCCATGGAGCTTATTGCAGGACTAGGCAAGCAGCAGCAGGACTTTTGGGGGTGCTGTGTTGGAGGCTACTGATGGAAAGTGCAGGGCCCAAAGACCTCTTGCCCTCAATATCAGGGTTGTAGATGCAGTGAGGCCAGCTCCTGGGTTCTGGACTCTATGACAAACTAGGGCTTTGCTTTGCTGCCGTGATGAGGACTGAGTCCAGGGTCTTTGCACTGCACCCTTTTAAAACTTTTTATTTTGAGACAAGCTGGGCTACAAATTGTTATCTTTCTGCCTCAGCCTCCCAGAACTGGGAATACCAGTATGCGTATGCCCCAGCAGTTGGGCACAAAAAATTTTTGGCAGTTTTAAGACAAACTTGACTTTTCCAGAACTGACTAATCTGGAAAATATCACCACCAGTAGCAGCAGGGTCACTTCTTGGTATGTGGCCATGTGGTGCCTGTGTGTCCAGCCACATTCCTGTCATCTCTTAGGTGCACCTCTGACCTGAGTGCTAAGTGTATAGGGGCCCTCAGCACAGTGCAGAGCCCCCAGCTGTGGCTTTTGGGGTCCGACTCGGACACATTTCACTGACATTAACCTCCTGCCTCTCCTAGAACGCAGGGCCCCCAGCCAAGGTCCCAGGACACAGCCTCTGGGAAGGTAAGTGCAGCCACGGAGTGCCTGGCACCGCAGGGCAGGGCAGAAGCAGGGCCCAGCTGGGTTGGGGTTTAAGCTCCCACCGGGGTAACCGCAGGTAGCCAGGGCACAGGAGAGCCAGGGTGGGTGCTGGCCTTGGGTGTGCCGAGGGCTGCAGTACAGGTGGCTTCTCTGGTCACACAGTGCAGGGAGGGCTTGGCAGGACCAAGAACCGCCTGCAGTCGCAGCTCCTCAGGGGCAGGTGGCGAGGCTGGGACGGCACGCTGGGTGCAGGGCAATGACAGCAGGACTCTGACAATGTTGGGACAGGTGTGTGGCTAGCCCTGAACCCCAACATGCCAATGATGAAGGATAAGATGAAATACCAAACAACATCAAACAACCCAACTAAAATGTGGAAGCCAGGCATGGTAGCACGTGCCTGCGACCCCACACTGGGAGGCTGAGGCAGGAAGATTACAAGTTTGAGCCCAATCTGGGCAATTTAGCAAGCCCCTGTCTCAGAATACAAAACATAAACAGGGCTGGGGATGTAGCTCAGTGCAAAGGACCTGGGCTCAATCCCCCACCACCCCCGCTCCTAAAAACAGGAAAAAAAGAAAGGTAGACTTGAATAGATTTTTGTCAAAAAATACGTAAATGGGGCTGGGAGTGTAGCTCAGTGGATAGCACACTTGCCTAGCATACCTGAAGGCCCTGAGCTTAATCCCCAGCACCACACACACACACATACGTACATATACAAGTAGTCGACAAACATATGAAAACAAGCTCAACTTCACTAACCACCACAGAAATGCAGGTCAAAACCCCATGCGATACCACCTCATACCAGCTGAAAATGACCAGCCCTGAAAGGGTGCAGGGAAGCAGAGCACCACGCCCAGTTGGTGGGGACGGGGACGTGCACTGCCAGGCACGGGAGAAGCAGCATGGCGCTTCCTCAGAACACTGAAGGTGGAATTCTCCTACAATCCCCAAAGTTCTGGGTCTATGTCCAAAAGAATGGAAAGGGGAATTCTGGTATTTGCGCACCTGTGTTCATAGCAGCATTGTTCACAATAAGCCACAAGGCGGAGGCAAGTGGGTAAATGAAGTGTGACACACTCACTTCACAGCACGTTATGCAGCCTTCCATGGGAAGCAACGTCTGACCCATGGAACCACGTGGGTGATACCTCAGTAGACCAAGTGGGGCTGGAGAGATGGCTCAGTGGTCTAAAGCACCTACTTGAAACAAGCTTGGCAAAGCACAGGGACCACGGTTCGATCCCCCAGCGCCACATGCCAGCCAGCCCCGCCCCCTGGTGGGCTGAGTTGGCCACACACACACACAATAAATAAATGTAATAAATAAAAATAAATAATTAAAAAAAAAAAAAAAAAGTAGACCAAGTGAAGGTAATCACAGGACAAATACTCCAAGACCCCATATGTGGGGTCCTTAGTGTAGGCAGAAATTCTGGGGGTGTCCAAATATAGGGGCACACACCTGTGATCCCAACCCTTGGAAGGCTGAGGCAGGAGTACCCACTCCTGCATACTTGAGGCCAGCCTGGGCTACATAGTGAGTTCAAGGCCAACCTGAACTACATAGGAAGAGCCTGTCTCAACAAAAAATAATAAAAATACTAAAATGCTCAATGGTAGTCCTGGCTTTTCCCCTGGTTTTCAGTGTGGTCCTGCACAGCGCCCCACGTCAGGCCCTATCGCTAACATTAGATCCTACCTGGTTCCCATCTGGCTCTTGAAGGGTAAACCTGTCACCAAGCTTCCCTGGGCTGAGTGCTTTACCTGAGGGCCTTTAACTTCCCTGAGCTGAGCACCTTCCCTGCGCCAGCAGCACTTGGCCTTCATTTTGTTGTTTTGTTTGGTAAAGGGATTGAACTAAGGACCTTGCGCTTGCCAGGTGGGCACTTGCACCACTGAGCCATCTCCCCTGCCGTTCTGTGATTTATTGAGCAATGATTTTCTAGTCTCAGGCCTCCCTCCTCTGAAACTAAGTCCACATGCTGTTATGAGGTAGTGCTACCTGCAGCAAAGATCCTCTCCCCCAGGGTTCTCCCTGTTTCAGGAGACTTCAGTAATACTAATCGCTGGAGATGCTTGCAGACCCAGCCTCCAGAGCTGTTAGCATGTGACATCACCATAACTACCTGGGGTATGGTATGGTGGCCATGCCTGTGTTCCCAGCACTTGGAGGCTGAGGCAGGAGAGTAGCAATTGCAGTATCCCCTCGTGGCCTTTGCCTTATCAAGTCAGCACTACATCCGCTCCTAGAAGCCACCTCTTCAGGGACGCACTGATGGCACAACACTCATGATTTTGCTCCAATGACACACTAGTTCCTGAAAGACTGTGGTCTTAGAAGGGGCACAGACTGTGGTCAACACCTTCACTGATTGCATTCCCATGCTGGCAAGCCTGGATCAGCTTTTTCAACAACCTTCAAAATCTATTTGGTTTCTTGCAAGGGCCTCAATATACAGTGCAGACCATTTTGAAATTCTCTTGCCTCAGCCTCCAGAGTGCTGTGGTCACAGGTGTGTGTTTTGGCTATTTTTCTTAATTGCATTTAAAGATCACTTAAAATTCCTTCCTTAGCAATCAAGGTGCATGTGAGCTCCAAGGCCCACTGTACAATCAGCGTAGAGCCTAACACACTGGTCAGGACCACCCAGGACAGCCTGTGCGCATGCGTGTGTGGAATCAAACCCAAGACCTTCGGCATGCCAGGCAATTGCTCTCCTCCTGAGCCACTTTTTTTTTTTTGCTGTCCTCCTGAGCTAACCCCCATGTTTTTAGTAAATCCAAATCCTCAGCTTGTTTCTATGATTTACTTTCATACTGTAATCTACAAAGCTCATATGACTAACATCCTTTACCTAGTAATTTCCCAAAAACCTGCCCTGAGCTACATCTCCAGCTCCCCTTATTTTCTGAGGGAAAACAGTAAGTCAAGGCTAGGCTTAAAACCTTGTCACCTTCCTACCTCAACATCCCAGAATGTTGTGATTACAGGCTTACACCACAGCACCCAGGTCATTCTACATCCCAAACCCTTTCTTGTTACTGACCTTTCTGGATGTGCTCCTGTGAACTGACTTATCTTACTTTCCGCAGTGTACACTGCCTTGCACAAATGCACCAAGCGGACTGCCAGCCTCCAGGCCTGCACTTCCTCCCTCTGCCGACAGGTGGTGCTGCCCTGCTCACTACCAAGCAAAGAAACAGGCAGGCACCCGCGAGTAACATAAAATAGAAACTAACTTTTATTTCTCTGGAAGAAGCAGATATTGATAGCTGGGGCAGCAGCTTTGGCGACAGAGGCTGGTGGGAAACAGAACGGCACAGAGGAAGAGTTGGGTGCAGACAGGAAGCACTGGTGTCCGCCTAGGGCAGCTGGCCCTTGGTCTCCTTCCAACCATGGGGCCTTGGGCCCTGGTCCCTGCCAGAAAAGTCTGGCACCTCTTCTCCGCTTCCTGAACCACCCTGGCTATCTCCAGGCACAAGATCCTCTAAGATGGGCAGAGCCTCGCAATAGGTCTACAGTCCACAGTGGGCAGAAACTGAATCCTGCCCGACCCCTGGGGCCTGCAGGGCTCCCAGCCCAATGACGGCCTCTCTGTGTAGGCATGTATCTCCCACCGGTCACACTGGCTTCCAGTCTGGTCCCCTGGGCAGGGCCTGGCCCAGGCTCAGATGTCCCAGCCAGTTCACAGGGCCCTTCCCACATTCTGGTGGGGACACTGGGAACCAAACCCAAGTGAGCAGGTCAGCACTGGGTGAAAGAGGGGCAGGGTGGGCGCCAGCCTCACTCTGGCACTGAAAACAGCAAGGCAGGTCCTCCGGCCTGGGCAGGTAGCTTCCTCAGCCTGGCTCGTTCACAGCTCACGTTACTCCTTCAGGGCAGACCCGCACTCTCCAGATGCTCAGCGCCTGGGGGGGAAGAGTCCAGGCCCATCACACAGGCTGGCTGGTATCGGGACGGGCTGAACACCTGCAGCTCAAGGTATAATTCTGGAGTTTATCACGCCGAGATGGGCTGTCCGGGGTGAGACAACAGCACTGCTGTCAGCACCCAAGGACTGAGGGATGAGAAAGCCTTAGACTTTCCTGATGTAAATGAGGAAGAAAGTCAGGAGACAGCACCTCCCACTGACCAGCTGGTATGGGTAGCAGCGCCCTCCCTCATCCGGCTTCCTCCATGTCCAGCTGGACACACAGACAAGCACAACGGGGCTCCCTGGCCATTGGCCTCAAGTCTACCCAGCAAGCCAGGCCCCTCAGTCCATAGCACTGGCTTCTAGGACAGAGCTGGTGTCACCTGTGCCCCTACTCTGTCAGAGATTTCAAGTCTGTATTTATATTCACTCCACACTACTTATATAAATTCCAGTGCTCAGGAGGCTGAGGCAGGAGGATCACTGTGAGTCTGAGGCCAGCCTGGGCCACAAAGTTAGTTCAAGGCTAGGCTGAACTGCACAGTTAAAACCCTGTCTTAAATAGACAAAAGCAAATAAATGTCTTAAAGAGCCATCAACTACATCTACGTACATATGTATGCATGTACACTCATTATGTACACACATATGTATGAATGCATGTTTTGAAACAGGGTCTTGATATGTTGCCCAGGCTAGTCTCAAAATCCTGGGTTCAAGCAGTCCTCTGTGAGTGCCGAGACATTAATAACATTTTAAACACGACTTTAAACAGCAACATGGAAAGAAACATCTGAGTAAACCCCTGGGTCTGACCCAAAGGGGCTACTGTGGAGGTGCAGGAAGCTGCCCCCACTAGCCGGACTTCCTAGCTCTCAGGAGGAGCTGCTCCCAGCTCATGACTCCTGCCCCATCCCTACCTGTCCCAGGCGCCAGCAGCAGGACAGGCACTCACTTGTGGTAGGCAGGGCCACAGGAGCCCAGTAGGTGGCAGCCAGCCTGCTCCAGGTCCCAGTCAAACATCTCCAGCACTTTGTGACACTCTGTTCTTGGCCGCAGCCCCAGCCCAAAGAGCTGTTCCACCTGGAGGCGGAGAACAGCTCTGTGGGATCCAAGGCAAAGGAGCACTTGCTGGGCGGGGCAGTCAGTGCAGGCAAGGGCAGTGGCAATCTCAGGGCCCTGGTGCCAGGGCAGCGGGCAGCAGTGGTACCTTCAGATACTGGGCAGCCCTCTGCACGCTCCAGCTGTGGCTCTGTAGGGCAGCCTGGCACTCCTCTGTGGTTACTCCATGTACCATGGCCTGTAGCTGGACACAGTTCCCATGAGCGCTGTGCCAGCACTGGGCCCCCAGCCCTGCCTGCCCCCCAGCCAGCTCCACTCACCATCTGGACCTTGTCTGCAGGCCGCGATGTCTCCAAACCATCCCCCAAGTGGCCCCTCTGCAAGGCAGGTGGCCGGATGACAGGGTTGCTGTTGTTGGTGGAGAAGTTGGCTTTGGGGTCAGAGGCAGTCTGGGGCATGGGTCGCACAGTGGCAGTGGGGGCCGCGGGGATTGGGGTGCTAGGCGGTGGCAACAGGGGGGTCATAGGCTGCTGGGCAGGCTCTTCAGGACTAGGCACCTCCTGAAGGAAGCGCTGATAGCGCTCCAGGTAGGGCGGGCGCTCAGGCAGCAGGTAGTAATGGGTACTGCTGACCTTCCGGCCATCACGCACAATGGGCAAGATGCAGGGCCCTGCCCGGGGGCCAGGAGCCTGGATCACCTGAGGGGTGGCATACTTGGGGTCGGAGGCAAAGCTCTGGGTGGTAGGCATAGTCTTCCCAGGGGAGCTTGAGAGTCGGGGAGGCAGTGGGGAACTGCTGGGTGGTACCAGTGGGCTGGGCGTCCTTGAGCCTTGTGGGGACAGGGGCTCTCGGGGAGGTACCCGAGGAGGGGATGCAGGTCCAGGCCACCGGCCTAGCTCCTCCTCTCCCAATGGAGCTGGAGATAGCTCAACACGTGGGCGTGTGGGCCGAGGGGGTATGGGCACACGGGGTGGCACCTGGGGTCTGTCGTCGGCCCTGGGGCCAGGTGAGGGGGCCGTTGGGCCTGTGGGGACCTGCAGCTGCCGCATGCATTCCTGCTGCAGTGCCTGGAAGATCTGGGCCGTCTGTGCTGAGCTAGGCGGCGGGCCTGCGCCCTGGGTGGGCAGGAATAGGTTGTCCTCCAGTGCTGGGGGCTGCCTTACGGGCTCGGGCACAAAGGCATAGTTGGTCTCACCCTGGTGGGGCCCGGGCGCCAGCGTGGTGCCCACCAATGTGCTGTTAATGGAGCAGACCTCAAAGTCCTCCTCATCCTGGGCCACGTCATCATAGGCAGGTGGTGGAGGCAGTGGACGGGCATCCCAGTCCACCACCGGCGTGGGGTGCAAGGGCCGCGGCAGGGCCCGTGTGGGGCTCTGGGGAGGAGTCTTGTCCAGCAGGGAATAGGCGTCCATGGCCAGCTGTGCCAGGGAAGGAGCACAGGGCCGAGGGGCTGGGACCACAGGGTCCTCACCAAAGTCAATGAGGGTAACTTCGCTGCCCCCACGGCCTGCCTTGGTGCCTGGAACCCGGGCTGAGGGCTTCGATAGCCACAGCCCCCGGGGCAGGCCTGGCTTCCGAAGACCCAGCCTCTTGAAGTCACCAGCCAGGGTGTCTGGATCCTCACTCACAGGGTCATAAGTAGGCTCTGGATGGAAAGGGAGACCCCAACAGAGATCACATCAGGTAGAGCAGAGGCCACGGGAAGGTAGGGCACGGGGAAGAGAGCCAAGTAGCCCACAGGCCTCACTGCCAGTTCTCCATCAGCCACTCCTTGGCTGCCAAGCACCCAGCACACCTCACCCCATTCAGACAGCCATGACCAGCGGGGAACACGTCCACCTCAGCCCTCTGGGGTGCCTCCCCTGGCATCCTCTATAGCAGAGCCAACAACACCCACCCTGCTGCTCTCTGATATCCCCTCAGGACTAGAGACCCCAAGTCTGCACCGGTGGTAGCCTTTCCTCTCCCCACCTCCACATAGCACACCATAAGTACAGGCATGGGCAGTAGGAACCCCTGGGAAGATGGTGCTTCAGAGCAAAGCCCCCACTTCCAAGGGAGAAAGCAGGCAGGACCCAGCACAGCAAGACAAGGGGGTTCCCCCAAGCCCAGGCTCCAAGTCCCAGGGGAGGTACGCAAGGCCAGGCCCAGCTGGGCCAGTAGCAAAAGCTCACAGCAGCTACCACCTCCCCAGCTCGTGTACCTTTCGGGAAGAGAGGAGAGGATAGAGGACAGAGGGGGCAGGGGCGTCCTGAGCGGCCCCACTTACTCCGAGTGAAGATGGCAGGCTGAGGAGGGCGAGGTGGAGGCTCCCCTGCAAGAAAGGCCATGCGGACAGGAACAGGGACAGGACAGGGATGGGGAGAGGCAGCAAGCCAGACCGGACAGGAAAGGAGACAGAGCCGGAGGGAATGGAGGACAGGGAGGGAGACAGAGCCAGAGAGAGGACAGAGTGTTAGGGAGGGAGACGTGGCAGAATGCAAACAAGGACAGCAGGGTGGGACAGCAGAGGAGGAGACAGCAGGACGGGGACAGAGGAGAGGATAAGAGAGTCAGGCAGAGGCAGAGCTAGTTGCGGGGGGACAGCACAGTGAACAAGACAAGCAATGTGTAGCTCTAGCATGAATGAGAGGTGATAAGTGGCAGGAGGGGATAGCTGTGTCTCCAATGACAGGCGCGGGCACAGGAGATGGAGGAGGCCCTGGATGAAGCAAACTGCGAACTGCGGGGGCTTTGGCTCAGGAGAGGAGAGAACCGGATTAGAGCAGGGGGAGGAAGGAAGCCGAGGTGGGCGGGGCCACAGCAGAAGCAGCAAGGATGCCCACCTCAGCGGATACAGCTGCCTCACCTCGCCCCCCACACCCAACCAGAGTCCAGAACACAACCATCCCCCAAGCAGAGCAGCAGGCACAGGGCAGCCTGGGAACGCCAAGGAGCAGCACTTACTTTTCACCCTTCCCAGGTGCTGCGTGGGCCGGGAGGTGCTCAGCTCCACGTTCAGTAGGTCAGGGGGGTCCATGGGATTCCCCAAGTATAGTCTGCAGAGAGAGCAAGGCCAGCGCTGGTGGCTCCAATGACAAGCTGGGCACCCATCATAGATGTCAGACAGAATGAAAGGCCAGCACATCCAGGGGACACTGTGCCTGAGCCCCTGCATTTTAGAGCCCAGCAGCAGACCTGGGCTGGGGCTCCAGGCTCCAACTCCCATTCTGCCCAACCCATCCACCCATAGATCTAAGCCAGGGTGTGAGACAGGGCGGGGACGAGCCCTAGCCCAAGGGTCACACTTACTATCCCATGCCCCACAGCTGCGGCAGAAGGGCAGAGGAAGAGGACCCCATGGGCCAGACCTCGACAGCCTACCCTCTGGCACCAGCAGCTGGCGCACCCCTCCCCACTCTGCCTCATGTCCTGGCCCAGTACATGGCTTTTGGGCAAGTGAAGGCCAGAATGACAATGAGCACAGGGTGTGAGGAGAGTACAGGTGGCATTCCTGACTGGTCTGGCACCCCTCTGCACCAGAGGAGCAGTGACAGTGGAGAGCAGACAAGGTGGGCAGACACATGCCTCCCATGCATGGGGAAGTAGCCTGCAGGAGAAGGCATCAGGGTAGAAGCTGTGACCTTCTGCATGTGTGGCCCTGGGCCCTGACTATCTTCTACAGAGGCTGTGTGGGGAATACAGAGCTCCTGGGTGGGCTGCACTGGGGGCCCTCAGCCCTCACTCTGTCCACACAGCAAGCCCTGCCCAGGCATGCCCTGCAGCTGGCACCCAGGGAGAAAGGAGGGGACAGTGGCCTGACCCCAGGCCCAGCTGGGTGGATGCTTGCCCAGCATTGGCCAGATTGGGCCACAGAGCCTGTGTGAATACTGAGGGGTGGCAATGATGCCTTTCCCAAGAAACATGGGAAGCTACTTCTCAGGTCCCTTCTGTAGCTGGGAGCAGAGGTCCCCGTGCTCTGCACTGCTTCACTGTGGCAGAACTGGGGTCAGAGGCTTCCAAGGAGGGTCCCCACTCCACCCCCGGAAAGGCACAGCAGCCTTGAGAAAGGGGGAGAAGCACCTCTGGAGGCATCCCTCATTAGCTCTGCTCTGAGCAGCATGCAGTCTGCCTCATGGGGGGCCCAAGCCCCTCTGTTAGGGTGCGCACTGTACAGAAGGTATCAGCCTAGCACCGGTCAGCAGAGCAGTTTCCAACTGAGGTCCACAAAGTGGGGAGGCCCAGCAGGGAGCGTGGGGTCTGGGCCAGGTACTCACTCATCGATACGGTCAGGGAAGCCCCAGCAGTGGCGGGGGTCGCTGTCCCCATGCCCCGTGTGGATGAAGCTGTTTTGCAGGGGCTGGCTGATGTCCTGCGCCGAAAGCCCAGCCACGGAGGTCACCACGTTTCGAGGGAAGGGCCCCACACACAGCGTCCGCGTGTTCTGCCCCCGCCACCAGTAGTTCTCAGCCCTGCCCGCAGACATGATGTGGTGGGTGCCAGGCCAGAGACCCTGCTCCCCCGAAGCTCTCTGCCAGCCAACCTGGCCTCCTTGGCAAGAGCCAGCTCCATAATGCAGCTGGTCGCCCACCTGCCAGCAGCACCCAGTCTGCCACCCCAATGCAGGCTGGCAGTTTGCCCGTAGCCTTCCCTGTGCCCCCTCAGTGAGCTCAGGCAGACTGTCTGGGCTTACAGAGTAGATGGTTACAGCAAATGACAGACCTCAGCCACCTCACCAGGACAGCTGGCCCCAGGAGGGCCTGGACTCCAAGCTAGACTGCGCGGCCTTCCCAAAGCTCCACTCTCCAGCCTCCTCCCCAGCAAGGCCCAGCCCAACCTTCCCAGCCTCATGTCCACACTCCAGCCCATTTCAGGGGTCCTAGGAGCTGCAGGTCCCCAGGGAGCTCCAGTTACAATCTGCCTCAGGGTGGCAACCACACCTTCTTCCTCCCTGCTCCCCACCTCCATTGTCTTGCAGGGGCCCAAACGGGGGTGGGCGCACTGTGGGCCCTCAGCCCTGGTTCTGACCACAGACCAAGCCTTGTGGACACAGCCCTACCCAGGCAGGGTCGGAAGCACAGGGTCTCCCAGCCACACAGACTGCCCCACACCTAAGGCTGAGGTCCCCCACTCCACTGCTAGAAGTACACACAGGACAGCAGTGTGCGCAGAGTCTGGGCTACAGCACAGGGGTGAGTATCATGCTGCTGGGAAATGTGTGCCACCAAGATGCCTGCTCTATCAGCCCCTTCCTTCACCCACCCCAAAGCCACAGGCACACAGATGACTCCCGAGATGCAATGGGATCATGAGGGCAGGGGAGACAGGGAAGGGAGGTCTGGGCACCTGGGACCCTGCCTGGGACACCTGACCTCCCACAGCTGCCCATCCCCAAGAATGAGGACACAACAGTCCTTCTAGAGATGACAGGCAGTGGCACGGGAGAAGTGCCAAGCCTCCTGTACATGTTGACATCCTGCAACTACACCCTGCATCCAGGATATGGAGGGAAGGCCCAGAAAGTAGCAGGGCTGCTCCCAGGCAGAGAAAGGCTCCCCACCACATACAGGGGTGCCAAGAGAGCCAAGGGGGAGCACACAAGCCCTGAAGGACCCCAGTACTCCCCAGGACCCATTGTACCCACTCTCTACATCTCCTCAAAGACATCCAAGAAGAAGGGCTGTGTGCAAGGCCAGGTCTGGCAGCTCAGCCCTCTCCCCTCCTTTGACCAGCACAGCCCAACTCCTCACCGATGCCTCCTCCTTACAGAAGAGACAACAAGACAGTGACTTTGGAGAGTGACTGGAGCCTCTAAGCCCCTGGCCCCTATTGCAGGCACATCCCAGACCAAAATTCAGAAGCTCAGGGCCTCAGGGCCTCATGGGCTCCCAGCCCCAGCTAGTGGAGAGCTCCTATCCAGGCACCACGGAAACACTCAAAGTTGTAGCTCACTGCCCACACGGGCTCTGCGGGCCCAGCAGGCCAAAGTGCAGCAGCCATGGTGCCCACTCCTCACCAGCCAGCCTCACACACCCTCTCTTCCTGCAAGATCTCTAAGCAATGCTCAGGGACTGAAGCAGAGGCCCATGGGGCCCTTGGGGAGTAAGAGGCCCCAGTCCCCCCAGCCCAGTCTTCACACTTCTTGCAGGCCTCCTGGGGGCCACTGCAGACATTTCTCAGCTGGAATCAGTCTTGTCCTTCCCTCAAAGGAAAACGCAGCCCCTTAGTGCCCTCACCTACACAGGAAACAGAGACTGCAGCCCAAGCCAAGGCCAAAGCCCTGCAATGAAGGTCAAATCCTCTAGCCTCTTCACCTCTTTTGTAAAGACAGTATATGCAGAGGGGCCACCAGCCAATTCCCCTTCCAAACAAGACCTCTGGGAAACTGGGCATCCAGAGGGCCTCACATCTACACATGGCCTCCTGGCTGAGCTCTGCCTGTTGCCCAGCATGCCAACAAGCACAGAGCCCTGAGGGAAGTCTGAGACAGGCACAGGCAATCTCCAGGCTCGAGGTAAAACACCCGAAGAGCTGGAAGGACGGGGAGCTGGAGACTCAAGAGAGTGACTCTGGAGAAAGCCAGAACACACCGCACACGTGGAGACGGTTCACCAGTCAAAGCCCTGCCACCACCAACACCCAGGCTCACTCTGTCTTCACCGGCTGTTGCGGCCTCCTGCCCCTCACCTCCTACCTCCTGAGCAGCTCTGGGGACCCAGGACAGGCTAGTGACCTTGGAGTAGGAAGCTATGAGCTAAACCAAGGGCGGCAGCACCCACAGGCAGAACCAACAGCTGAGCAAATGAGGGCCAGGGCCAGAAGGCAGGACAAGGTGGGCTGTGACAGCCTGCAGGGAGCCACTCTTCCACCCCTCCCATAGCCTGCTCTCAGGGACCAGGACACCAGCTCCATACACTCACTCTTGAAACACAGGAAGCCCGGAGTCACCCAAGAAACACTGCTCCAGTGGGGGAAAAGGCAGGGTCAGGCAGCTCCCAGACGCCCTTCCTCTTCCCGCTTCTAGGCTGCTCCCAGGGTGCCATGCCTACCAGGCTTTCCTGACCTCTCCTCCAAACCCACACACTGTCATTCTGTAACTTTCTTCTTCTACACCACATATGCTACAGCAATATCTACCCCTGCCACCACTGGAATGCCACTCCCAGTGCTCTGGTCCTGTCCTGGAACTGAGGGGGAAGGCCACAGTGGGTACAGCTGTCCAGGCCGATGTAGGATTTACCCAATAACCTGCAGGCCCCCAAGCCCCAGAGCAGGCAGTAAGGCTCTGTGAGAGCTGTGAGACCTTACCCTCACCTAGTTATGAGTCAGAGGAACTCCCTCTCCACTCTTCTTCCAGATTCTCCTGCTCATCGCCCCCACCTACCCCATGGGAGGCACGAGGGTCCAAAGGTAGCTCATGTCACCTAACCCCACATCCTCAGCCATCCTGGAACTCAGGTGACAGAAGACAGATTCTCTAGGACTACTGGAACTGTGAACTCAAGGTCAGCTAAGACCCACCAGCAGAGCCGGAGAAGCCCGGGCAAAGGGCTAGGGAAGCTTGGAGGGGCAAGTTAAGCAGCAAGTCTGGGGCCCACCCCACACTCGAGAGCCTGCCCCCCTCCTATCACCAACAGCCTGTGTGCTGCCACTTGACCCCAGGAGAGGGCGGCGATCTCCATTCCCATGCCTCCAGCCTTTGTGCATCACACAGCCCTACAGAAGAACTGCCCTACCTTCCCTCGATGACGGTAATGACATCATTCATCTGGATGTGCAGCTTGTCGGGCTCCTCAAAGTCCTGCAGGGCCCGCATGTCAGTGGGCTGGGCCTGGAGACAGAGACCAGTGACCATCTGTCCTGGACTAACATCAGGAGGCCCCTGGCCGAGACACCCTGTGCAGCCCACCCCTCACCTCCAGCAGGAAGTCCCGCAGGGCCACAAACGTGGGTCTGTCCTCAGGCTTGTGGGCCCAGCACTGCACCATGACATTGTAGATGTCCTGCGGGCAGTCCTCGGGCCGCGGCAGGCGCTCTCCCTCCTTGTCAATCTTGTGCAGGATCTTGGAGGACAGCAGCAAGCTCAGCTGGCTCTCCACCTCCCACATGTCCTCCGTCCCATCCCAGCCCACAAGGGTCACTGCTGGCTGCCACCCTATCCTCCAAAGGACAGACCTGTCCCACTCCACAGCCTCAGACCCAGCTTCCAGGCCAAGGTAACAGCACACGAGGGCCCAAGGCAGGGAGAGAGTGCCCTGAGCCTGCCCTCCCGTGGCCCACTGGGTGACCTTTCTCTGCTCATTCATCTAGGGGGAGTGCAGACATGGGGTGTAGGTGGTGAGGGGTCCCTCAGATGACAGCCAAGAACAGAATCGTCCCCACCTACCCCATGGGAGGCACAACCCATCTCACCTGGCTGCCATTGAGGCCGATCCAGGGCTCCTGGCCATAGGTGAACATCTCCCACAATGTGACCCCAAACATCCAGGTGTCGCTGGCGTGGGAGAAGGTGCGGGTCTTCAGGCTCTCAGGGGCACACCTGGCAGAGGCAGGAGTCAGCCCCCACAAACATGACACTGTCACCAGACAAGCTTTTTCTGCTGCCTGGATACAGGACCCAAGAAGGGGCAGGGCATCCTAACCAAATGGCCCGCACCCTGGAGAATACCCTGTGCCCAGGACTCCTGTCACATGCAGCTGGGGTTGGGGGTCCTGGTCAGAAAGTTGAGGGTGGCCAGAAGGTTGAGGGGAGGGACAAGGTCTCAGGATGTTTTCTGTCTGGTAGGAGGACAACTTCCAGCTCTGGGCCAGATCCTGGGATCTGGGTCACTTCAGCAGGAAGGTGTGGGCAGCAAATCCAGATAGGGGCCTGGGGAAAAACCCAAATGTGTGAAAATGTCACACAGGCTTTACCCAAGCATACCCACACTTGCTCTAGGTCCTCTCCTGGGAGAGTTTACAGAAGAGGTTCCCCAGGGTGGGCCGAGGTGCTGCAACAGAAACATGCACCCCGGAAAGAATCAAAAGAAGCCCTATAGAGGGCTGGCCAGATAGCTCAGCGGATTAAAGCACCTGCTTAGGAAGATGCAGGGACTGGGGTTTGATCCCCAGTGTGCCATGCCAGGCCCCGCCCCCAGGGCACACTGAGACAGCAATTAAGACTGAGCATGATGGCTCGCAACTGTAATCCCAGCACTTGAGAGGCTGAAAACAGCAAGATCATTACAAGTCCAAACTGTGTAGTGAGACCCTGTACTAAATACGAGAAAAAACCAAACAAACAAACAAAAAAACGCTGTGGTAATGAGTTCAAGACTAGGCTCAAGTACATAGGAAGATGCTGTCAAAAAACTAAAAATAAATAAGTAAGAGAGACATGCGGGACCCTTGTGTGCCTCAAAAGGGACAGGACTCAGGGACTTTCACGTAAGACCCCTAAGCTTCATTTTCCCATCTATGAAATGGAAACAATAACCTGCACATTCCATACTGACTGACTGACTCTCTCTCTCTCTCTCTCTCTCTCTCTCTCTCTCTCTCTCTCTCTCTCTTTCTCTCTCTCTCTCTCTCTATATAT